ACACTGTTGTGAGTTTGTACTTCAATTTGTGAGTTTGCCCTGATCATTTTGTCAAGTTTGAGCCTATCAGGTTTCTCCATTGTAAGTCGCTATTTCCCCCTTTTTATTTGATTAGTAGTTTGTGGAGGAAAATTTTTATAGTACACTTCTCAGCAAACCTCGAATCACCCCTTAGCATCTAAAGAGGACTCTTAATGATATCTTAATTACCACTTTGATGAGTTCCAAATGGTTATAACCTGCTTTAATCATTTTCTCTACAGTTATTAGTTGGCATCTCATTGTAAGAAAAAGCTTTCCATTCTCCCTTATTTGTTTCTTTATATTTGTGGGTTTCAAGGATTTCTGTTTTATTCAATGAGTTATAGTCCAGTACTCTTTTGAGACCAAATTGACCTAGACAGTTCAGAGGGCACCCTGTCAAGGTGCCTATGTGTCCTTGTCTTTTTGATATGCCCTCATCATTCCATAAGCATTTCCTTACTTTCTGGCATAAATTGTTCCATGGTAATTATATACTTTCCCTGACCCAGCTGCAGAATCAGCTATTTATGCCCAAATCCATGACTCCTTTCAGTGAAAGATAGTATTTAGAACCCAAAGTTTGGATGCTCAGTGTATTCATTGCTCTTGGTGTCATTGCTTCCAAACTGACAGAAGTAGATAATATGCATATGTACATATGTACATATATGTACACACGTGTCTATATATACACATATGTGTACATATACACACATATGTCCCTATATACACATGGATACACATAAATCTATGTTTGTGTGTATGCATTCAAACTTACATATGTATGTATACACACACACACACACACACATAAATTTCTTCTGACATTTTCATTTCCAAACCAATGTCTTAAGGTTATTTTTAGCTTTCCCCCTTTCCAGATCTGTAAATCTCTTCCAAGACAGTGAAAAATCTGGTTCTCATCATTTTCAGCAGTTTGTTTAATTAACTCTTTGTTCAGTGTGAGGAGTCTCTCAACTGCTCAGACTGCCCCCTCTGCCCACCATTTCTGGTCTCCTTCTCCGCATGGCCCCAGTTCCTCGGACACCAGCATCTCCGCATCAGGTGGGGGGAAGGAACAGAAGATTGAAAGGGATAAGGAGATGGGGCTGGCTGTGTTGTTTCAAACAACTTATTCAAACTCTGTATTGATACAGATGGAAGGCATATAATGACTAAGACAATTCACAAACTTAACCCTTGAAACCTGTATTCTTAGCATGATGACTGGTGACTTCAGTTAAAGTAGAAATAATCTTTTGTCTTATTATACAATTTGGGAACTAAGATATTTAAAAGATGCTTAGAGTCTCAAGGAGATATTTGCATGATCAGAGAAACATTATTCACCATGGTCAAAAGGTAGAAACAACTCAGCTGTCCATTAACAGATGAATGGATAAACAAGATATAGTATAATATAGAATGAAATATTACTCATTCTTTTTTTTTTTTAAAAGATTTTATTTATTTATTTGACAGAGAGAGATACAGCGAGAGAGGGAACACAAGCAGGGGGAGAGGGAGAGGGAGAAGCAGGCCTCCCGCCGAGCAGGGAGCCCGATGCGGGGCTCGATCCCAGGACCCTGGGATCATGACCTGAGCCGAAGGCAGACGCTTAACGACTGAGCCACCCAGGCGCCCCGAAATATTACTCATTCTTAAAAGGAAGGAAATTCTGACATGTACCACAACATGCATGAATCTTGGGGATGTTATGCTAAGTGAAGCAAGCCAGTCACAAAAGGACAAATTCTGTATGATTCCACTTTCATGAGGTATCTAGAATAGTCAAGTTCACAGAAACAGAAAGTAAAATGGCGGCTGCTGGGGCTGAGAGGAGGAGGAAATGAGAGTTGTTTAATGGGTTTAGAGTTTCAGTTTTGCAAGATTCAAAAGTTTTGGAGACTGGTTGTACAACGTGAATATGCTTAAGACTACTGAACTGTACATTTTGTAACATGGAAAATTTTATGTTGTGTGTATTTTACCACAATTAAAAAATTTTTTTTAATGTCAAAAAATAGTGAAAGGTAGAAATACCCATCTAAAAAATGCCTTCTTTTTTTTTTAATGGTCATTTTGATTAGCTCATGACACTTAAAGTCTAGAAATTGCATTTAAGAAAAGATAAAAGGAGGATGGGTACTTCTGCTGAAGACAATAAAGGACTAGACAATTTGGTCTTTTCTAATGTTGTATAAAGATGGCATTACTGATAGCTGTGCAATGAGAATATTATACTCAAAGTGATTTATTAAGAGTCTGTTTAATTGTCGTGATGGGCAAGTTTAATTATCACAAGGAGGCCCTTCCTTATTGGGTTGATAAGACACAGACGATACAGATCCAGACCTGCAACAGACAAGAATAAAATCAGAAATATAACTATTATATACATGACAAACTTTTTATTCTACTTAAGTTCTAAAATGAGTACAGTCTAAGTTATAGATTAAGAGTGTGACATACGACGTTTGTTCAAATGGGTGAAACGGAGGGCAAAGAACCCTGCACCTAAACCAATCTGCTACACCCCACCACCCTTTCAATATAGAGCATTTCCAAGTTACAATAAATATTTCGGGTACAACATTCTACTAGGTTTACATCAATTACTGTAAACAAATTATATTCTTTGTGTTGACCTCCTCTTCCCTAACCACTGTCCCTTCTGAGTGTGCCACCAGAAGGTGCATAATATCAGGGAGAGCTCAAACTTTAATTACCAGACTGCCATTACTACTCCAATGCCTAAAAGCCAGGAGAATGTGTTTCAACCTTTTCCCCAGTTTATTCAGTGGTGTGAATTTTTTTAAAAGAAGATTTTATTTATCTATCAGAGAGCGAGAATGAGCAAGGAGAGGAGCAGAGGGAGACGGAGAAGCAGACTCCCCACTAAGCATGGAGCCTGATGCAGGGCTCAATCCCGGGACCCTGGGATCATGACCTGAGCCAAAGGTGGATACTTAACCGACTGAGCCACCCAGGTACTCCTTCAGTGATGTGAATTTTTGAAACAGATGAGACCGTGAGGAAATGAAGCTACATGGTTTTATTACTTATATTGACTTTGACCAAGGACACAGGAAGAACAGCTGGTAAGTGCCATACCTAGAAGTTCTTACTAATAACACACAAGTCCAAGACAATTTAATCTAATCATGCTGTGGTGCAAATCCTGCTCATCACCTCCTGGGCCTTCCCCCAAATGGAGGTAACCAATTACTCTTTCCAGTTACTCCAATCATTCTTTCTTTTGTGTTACACGCTTTTCTTTTGTTTACACGCTTTATTTCCATGGTGATTTCATTAGCATAAAGTGCACATCTTATATGCAATACAACCAGAAATCGTATATGTGTACCATCATCGTTAATCAGATTTTAACTCTATTTGGTCAAATTCTCAGTTATGTTTTTGGCTCATCTCACTTTTGTGATTGCAGAAATATAAACATTCCACAGTTTCCCCTTTCTTATTTTGCCTGTTTAGCCTCAAGTAGTTTCGTTGGCCTGTACTTGTCTCCTTGAGCTCATTGACTTCTTATACTCTATTTCTGCTCACAATCTTGATAACTTACACTCCTTCAATATAAAGGATCTGTCTTCTACTCAGCCTATGAAATGACTGTGAATTCTGGAGAGGTCCACAATCTTGAAGACAATACAGAGCTTGAAGCCAATGAGATATCCTGAACATTATTGCTTGCTAGAAGTATTATAATGCTAGAGGTCACTAGACAGTAACACTGAGGAGTGATGAGGAGTTTCCAGAAAGCCCATGGACATCCAACCAACTTTATCCTTGTTAAAGTGCCATTAACATATCCTCTTATTCAACTCATCCACAATGAACACTGGCCCAAACGACTTTTCTATAAGTTTATGCATTTCCAAACAGTGATCCATTTTGTATACCAACAAAATTTACAGAAGTATAAGTAATTGAAAACTCACAATACTTTAGGCCAAGTTGTTTCTTTGGATTAAACAAAAAATTCTAGACATGACCACAAAATGGTATGCATTTGTTCAAAGAGAAGCATTTCTAAAATAATTAAACATAAATTACTATTGCATAATTTGGTCAAAGGGTACATCTATCTGGATTCTGAAAACATTTAAAGTCCAAAATTCCACATTCCTCACACGGCCTTAATGATTTTCTTTCAAGATAGAATATTATTCTAAGAATTGTTTTTATGGGAAAGACTAGAATTTATGATAGGAAAAAATATAGTATTATCATAAGGAAACATGTTACAGGGCTTTGAACACAGATCTGCTCCCAGTGCCCCAGCGTGTAAACCAGAGGGATGTAAATAGCAGTGGTGTATTTCATTTGTAGGCTCAGTCGTGGCTCAGCCTCCTTACAGCAATGCTCTGAATGCTGACAGGGGGCATTAAATCTTTGGTGGGTTTATGAACTGCAACAGGGAACTTTTCATGACGTCCTGGATCCCAGAAGTAAGACGCCAGTGGCTAATCTCTGAGTCACCAGGCCCCTTTGACCTGTTCTCTTCACACTTGTTTCCATATTTCATCTGCTCTGTGCTGGGGTTGCTTTATGATTTTGGTTAAGTGTGAAGAAAATCAGTGTGGCAGATGGAAGGAACTCAAGCTGTTCTTTACCAAATGCTAAATTTCTGCCAATTTGTATGTATTTTGTTTCCGTAGCGAAATCCCTGCTGTCGTTTCTCAGCATGTCCGGTAAGCCTTATCACTCGCCAGTTTAAGTAATATCAGATGTAATATTCCCTGAAGAGGACAAAGAAAGGGACTCCACGTTTAGTTTTTATGTTAAGGACAACATGGCTCACAGCGCACATGAGCTGGAACAAACAGTACTTTAGAAATCGTGCCAAAGGCGAGGCCACGGCTTGGCTTCTGCGTCCCTGGTTAGAGACAGGGCTGAAACAGGCTGGCAGCAGCTATGAGTAATGTGAGGAGCACTGAACTCGGGGCCAGAGGATCCACACTCAAACCCTGACTCAGCCAGCTCGTTACCCCAGCTGACTGACAGCTTCTCGAAGCCTGAGCTGCTACAACAGTAAAATCAAAATAAGGCAGTTCTCAGAAGCTTTAATGATGGGTAAGTGAGATAATGAACATAAACTTATTTGTGGCTTAAAAATCATCTTATAAGGGGTATTGATTCTCTTGCTACATGGTTGTAAATACTTTTTGCTGATTTCACCTACCTGTAACCAGTAAATCAATTAACTCACTGCTTTGGCATTGATTTTAACTTCGAAACTGATTTTTGTGTCTGACTTGATGCCAAGTATCCAATTGGAAACAAAAATCTCGTCAATAACCGGAATCACATAACATAAACACATTCATTATTTTACATAGAACATTGTTACTTTTTCAACTGAGTTTTTAAATGGCATAATAGTTTAGCATAATGGTCACCCAGACTGAGAAACTCTGTAATTGTGCCTTGTAATTTCAGAAACCTACGAGCTAATTTATCGCATACCAAATTTTATGTTTTAAAACATGACAGTTTTTATGAAAAATTAAGAACAAGCGGTTCTGAGTTCTGATCCAAATAAATAGCTATTGTTGTCTCTGTATGCATGTATTTATATATAGATAAACTATTAAGAGAGGGTTGAAGCTCTATACGGAAAGTAATGAGATAATGATATACATTGTATGAATATGAATACATATACGTGTATGAAGATTCATATATATATATATATATATATATATATATATATATATATAGAGGTATACACACACACACACACTCTGCCTGAGCCCAATGCCAGGTTCCCATCCCTGAACAATGAAGTCGGAATATATAGGGGGGGGCTGCAGCACTAATGCGTATTAAAAGCTCCCCAGGTGATTTTAATGTGCAGCCAGGGTTGAGAACCACCGCTCCACATCTATATCTTAAAGTCCTTAGTCTAGCTGGTATTCTGGATGCACTTAAATTCCACCAGCCCATATGTTTCCATTCAGACAAGAAGGACAATAACGATGGCAATATTAAAAGTCTTCACCTGATGCAACCAATTCACTGAACTTTTCCACTGCCTCCCAGAAAGTGAAAACAGACACCACTTACGTTTCTGGTTTCCCATGGTGGTGAATGGAGACACAGTGTGTCTGAGGATCCTAACAAAGCGATGGACGGTCTTCCCTCTTTTACCCAGTCACTACGTTGCTTTTAGTGTTTCTGAGTGCTGTGAATGAAAAGTGTTAAAATTGGGTGCCTGGGTGGCTCAGTCATTAAGCGTCTGCCTTCGGCACAGGTCATGATCCCATGACGAGAAAACCTACTTAGAGACAGAGATGGGAATGTTGAAGCCAGGAAACCAGCATAGGGGACGATTGGGGAAGAATTGGTACACGCAACACAGCATCCCTGGAAATCTAGAGAAGTCTCTGTTTCCGTAGCCTGGGAGTCAACACAAATGCCACTTGGGCCGGGCAGGATGAGGGGGGTGGATGCAGCCATCACTGCTCTCCACAGGGCTCCTGCCATGCTCAGGAAGAACAGCCACTTCAATTTTAGAGCATCGATACTGAAAGTCTTTTACTTTATGTTTGCAATTGTATGAGCATGTGGACAGGTCCCATCCATAAGTGAAGAACCCACTTGAGATGAGTTTTAGTTAATGCAATGTTTGCATATGTGTATGTGTTCATGGGAAGTGTGATCTGACTGACCAATTAAAAATCCGACAGTCCTCTCCTCACTGGGACTTGAGACGTTTGAAACTAAAGAGGAAAAAATAAGTCACAAATATAAACAAAATGTGACCTGTCAGCCAGTACAATGCACTGTGGTATCTACCCTCTTTACTCTGTGCCTATGCAGAGTGGGGCTCTAGAGATAGATATTCAATCAATGATCACTTGACAATTGATCTAAGAGTCCAAGTCATTCATACTACTAGATTTGTAAGTCACCCTTAGTTTCCTTACCCAACTAATTTTCATGTAAGTGCTCTAATGTCCTGAGAGATTGGTTTTGGTCAAACTATACTGTGCTTGCAATCACATGGGGATCTTATAAAAATGCAGACTCTGATTCAGTAGGTCTGGCTGGGGCCTGAGATTCTGCATTTTTTTCCTCCACTGCCAGGTGATGCAACATTGCAGTCTGTTGACGACGTTTTAATGACAAGGCTAAAAGAAAGAAAAGATAAATCAGAATTTATGTCACTCCTTTTGAAAAAGAAAGCCTGACTACATGGGCTTCCTAAAACAAAACATTTAAGGAATAACATAGAGTATGAACGAGAGACTTAAAAAGCAGAGAAAACTCAGCACCTGGCTTTGGAACAGTCTCTGTTTGTTTAATGGTACTCCCGAGGATTTTCAGGTTTCTTTGTTGTCCTAACTACACTTCAGTAATTAGTAAATGTTAGAGGCATGCTGAGATTTGCTGCTTGGTCCAATAGTCAATTATTCAAGCTTCTATAAGGAAAAACACATACTTTAATGCACTTCTATGATTTGTAGTTTCACAAATGTTGTTCTAATCCTATTCCTCACAGTTAGCAAAACAGGAATGCAGTAATTCCCTTATTTCAACACACAGCTCATCATTAATCTTGGGATTCTATTATAAAAGACTGTACCCCCATGAAATTAATCAACATGCTCCATGTTTTTCCTCCTCCCTTTTTTCCTGTGTCGTTGCTAGATCCCAGAAACCAAAATACCAATGTCCATAACAACCTCTGAAATTCTTTGCCTTGACAGAACATGTAAAGTTAGGACTTGTAGATTTTTCTTTGACTCATGTCAGAACAGCCTAGCTATGCTGGATCTCTTATCTCCTGGCAATTCTAGCAAGACTGATTTTATGAGAGAAAGGAGAAACGGTGTGTGGCAAAGGAAGACTCGGATTCCCAGCTACTTTATTTATGGGTCTAGTGTGAACTGACCACTGAACTGGTCACTGAAATGTCTCTGGGTCTCAGGTTTCTCATACAGAAAGTGATCGTATTAGTAATAAAAACATGACTTATCATTACTAATATACTGTAGGATATGATGAAACACATACATTTGATTTAGAAAAGTTTTTGAGTAAAATTATAAATCTTCATGAGACACACAAGTGGATTATTCCTTCTCTTTTCTTGCCCAAACTTAAATGAGGTTTGGCAGCTGGGACTCTGGATACATGGGGAAAAAATTATGCGTTTTAGCCTCTGCCAATCAGTTTTACTCTCTGTGATTAGTTCACAAGATGTAAAGCCTCCTGAGGTCAGGAGCAATGTCTGTTACTTGCTGCTGGGTAACAGTGCCTAGTCTATAAATGTCAACCAAACACATAAATCAAAATTGTTTGCATGTGACACATTCACTTCCTTCTAAGGGTAAAAGGTAAGAAGCTCTGCTTGGTGATTTGGAATTGAAAGAGTAATTTTAGTTTGAAAGCTTCATGATGACAACCAATGTGTTAACACAGTGTCCAACCACTACTTCATTTTAATTTTTTCATGAAAGCGAGGATTCAGTGGGAGTTAGCATTTTGTAGCAGTTCTAAATCTTCTAAAATATAAGGGCAATGGAAATTGTAGCAGCCAGTGTTGTGGTGTTTACCTGGCTATGAACAGTGTGTACTTCTTCTCTCTCCTTGACCCTTCTATCATCACCCAACCTGTCTACCTACAGCATGCCGTTACCACCTTCCAGACCCCCAAAGCTTACACAGTCCCAGAGAGGGGCCAGGTGTGTGGGGTCATGATTCACGCAGACTCACTTAGACTTCAGGACCACCGGGAAGGCCAGAATTTCTGGGGTGGCATGGAAAGACAATGGAGGCTTGAAGTCCCAGGCACTAAAAATAAATACCTAAAAATAAAACTGTCAGTCCAGAACTTGGAAAGATCTAATATGTGGCTATGAGAAAGAACAGAGGTTCTGGAGAAGAAAACATGCTAATTAAAGGATCTTATTCAACATGGACCATTCTCTGATCTCGGCTTTTCCACAGTACCTCTGGCCTCAATTATTTCTTCATTCTACTAAGGAAAATAACCTTTGTTTGTACCTGTTGTTCTTTTCCCCCCATTTGTTTGTTAGCTTTTCTGAATTTAGAAGATTGTCTTCTATAAACTTTTATCCTCAGAAATCTAAGTAAATCACAAATTGAAGAATAAAAAGGCAGCATTCCTCAGTTGTTTATGTGACCGACGAAATATCTAGCAACCATGAGCCATGACAGAATGCATGAATTGTACTCCTCTGACCAGTCTGCGTTATAAAACAAAGGAAGATTTTGAAAGAGGTGAACTGGTGCAAGTACTGAATGGTGCTCTGTCCTCCTATATAACCTAATATTTTTAACCCTATAGCAGGCTGGATTCTGATCCTAGGAGAAGCTAGGTATCTTTAGAAACTGCATTTATTCCTCCAGGTAAGAAGTGTTGTATTCCTACCAACACCCCCAACGGTGCCTATTCTGGAGAGTTTGATCAGTTTGTAAGGGATCATAGCAAGGCAAGAATGACAGGCATCTTATCATTCTCTTGAAATTAGTACTCACCCAAACATTTCAGCCCACACTTCTTATAAACTATTGTGAATTATAAAATCATTTGGAATAGACCACCAAAGGATGGTCAATGGAAGATAACTGAATGTGCTAGGTCTGGAACAGACATAGATTTTAAATATAACTAAGACTTCAAGAGTCCAAGACTGATTTCCTAAATGGTTCTTTGTGAAGGTTTTCAAACTAAACTCCCTTTCTCAATACTCTGTATATTGATTTTAATTTTTAAGGGAAAAACAATCAAACCAGCACACATTTCTGTCACTGTCTAGTCAAACACATGAGTCTTGTTAGATTCCTTTTTGCCTTGTTATAGTCTCATTTTCTCCTTTTGTTAAGTGCCCATAAGAAACAATCTAAGCAAAGACTAATTGGGAATTTTGGTAAGTGGCAAATGCCACTAGAGGTCTGGGCCTCTGGGGATGATACAACTAGAGTACCTAAGCAGTATACAGTGCAGTAATCAGCATGCGGAGAATTGGGAGCAACCTGCCAAAACTATCGTTGAACTGATGGGCAAACAGAGGGGATCTTTCAAGAGAACAGACTCTTCTAAAAACTGCCAATAAAATCACTAAATACATCATCTCAAAATACATTGAAATTCAACTTAATGGATCATTTATTCATTGCTATTCTTCATTAAAATAAAAAGTTAATCAGTGATTTTGAGATACAAAGGAAACAAAACGTTTAGGGAAAGAAGCTGACCTTTGCTGCAATATTTTTTTTTTTAAGATTTTATTTATTTATTTGACAGAGAGAGACACAGCAAGAGAGGGAACACAAGCAGGGGGAGTGGGAGAGGGAGAAGCAGACTTCCCGCGGAGCAGGGAGCCCGATGCGGGGCTCGATCCCAGGACCCTGGGATCATGACCTGAGCCGAAGGCAGACGCTTAACGACTGAGACACCCAGGCACCCCCCTTTGCTGCAATATTAATGGGAGGCATCTCACCTGAGAATGAGATCAAGTCACCAGGACAGGAATTCAGAAGCAACCCTTACTGCTCAGGGCAGTTGAGAATTGGCAAAACTTCTTACCTTGATAAAGCTCTTATGGACATAATGCTGTTATTATTTATTCCAGTTGACTTGAGAGGGTTGATTAAATGATAAAGGAATCAAACTAGCCACAAGGAGGTTGTAGTTTCCAAATAGTGTAAGTGATATTCTCATTCTCTCAACCAACAACTTATTTTGAGAACATCACAGAAGACATTTGATATGCATAAGATTGCTTGAAATTTTGTCTTTGTGTGTGTTGTGTGTAACTTCAGGTAGCATTATTAGCATACAATTTGCACTCTAATCTTTTTTTTTCTTTTATCCCTCTCCCACACTCTAATTTTTAAAATGAGTATAAGTGTGTCCTAGCTGTAATTGAAAAACCTAAGCAAACAATAACACTAACCGAACTTCAACTTCTAGAGAAATTTTCTAGAAAGATAATGGACTGCTCAAAGCTTCTTGAATTCTCTTTAAATCTAATCATTCACAACTAATTTTTCATCAAAGATTTTTTTGTCTAGAGCATGAGTTTTAGAGTCAAACGACTTCCATGCCAAAATTGACTTCTCTGACCACTAGCTGTGTGACCTTATGTGACTTTACTGTGCTTCAGTTTACCCATCTGTAGAATGAAAATAATATTGATACCTGTTGGGAGACAATTGCCCATAACTCTCATTTTTCTGCTTGTATTTTGAGCAGAGACACTGACTATCTTTGTTATGGATTATACATTTAAGAATGTTGTATAGATAAGAGCTTGAGAAAAGAGAGATGATATCTTCCTCTCAAACAATAATGTTTACTGCCCATTATAAAAGTTTTGGGTTCCCTATACTCCAAGTTCCTGTCCTATAATTCAACCCATTGTATGGCTCTTTTCACTTTGCTTTATAGGAAATGGGGCTGGGGGAACTGACCCAAGAAAATGTGGGCACTTTGGCCATTACTATTACCATGAGTAATAAAACTGTTCTTTGTTTCTGGACCAGGAGTCTCATGCCTTCTGTTAACATCCGTGAAACTGTGGTAAGCCAATTTGTTAGCTTGTGAGTATGGTAAGATCTCAGACTTTTCACAGATCTTGCAGATCCTACCTTATATTATTTTGAGGGTCAAATGAAATAATATATGTAAAGTGCTTGCAACGTTATCTGCCATATTTAAAAAACACAAATTATATTAGCTAGTATTGTTGCTGCTACTAATTGGTCATCAACTGTTTCAAGGTATAAAGACCTCAGGATATTGGTGAATTCTAATTCCACTGGTGCTGAGTGATGAAAATACAGACTAAAGAATCAACTGAGGTGTCTTGTGATAGTATATATTTTCTTTTGAATTGCCCAAGAAAGAAGTGGTTTGTAGAATTGGGAATTTTATGACTCTCTTGGACAGTTGCTTTAAATATCCAAATGATTTATTCCAAGTCAAATTATGTAAATGATTACTAGAGAGGGTTATGCTCTATATCATTTTTTTCCTGCTGAAGCTGATGGTCAGCATCATGCGGATGTCCCTGTTTTAATCAAAGCTGAAGACAAATTCATTTCACTGTCCTATGAAAATATGTATTAGCTGCCTGTCTTATCAAAATGCTATAAAGGCAGGGATGATGATTAGTGCTTATCCCTTTAACTTATTATTAGAGATGTTATACAACCACATTCAAAGATACCTTTGCTGAGATATTATTTAAAAATCTCACATGATTCCTGTTCAACCTCAACTTTCTTCTGTTAGAGTAAGTGAAAAAACTTTTAAGTTTCTGTGAAATTAATTTAAATGATCCTAACAAATTGATTGATCACACTGAGCTTCTGTTACATTCTAGAACATCAGTTGAAACAGGAACATGTCTAGACATGGCCTATGCATACACCGTCTCATTAATTATAAAAAGAATTCAATTGATCACATAACTCTTAATTTTTGAGAATTCAAGGTGCTGCAAAGCTTAAGACATTGAGAGCTAAGTAGATATTTTTAGGAGTTTCTCTATGGTTCATCATCACCAAGGGAATGTAAAAAAAATATGGAATTGCTTCCTCTACATATACTTCCTTTAGTCTTATGTTTTAAGGCTATCTTAAGATTTATTTGAATTTCAGTCATGGAAGACATGGAAATAAGAATCATCCACCCATACGTAGAGTGAATCAATATAAAGGAATTAATTCAGATAGGAAGAGTACTTGAATAATAGTTTTCAAATTATTTTTAAAATGTGAAAAAAATTTTAAATGTCATGCTATAGAATATCCATATTGATCTGTCTATCCCAGAGAGTATCCCAATGGGCACCCCTGAGATCCCTAAGCATTTCAAACACCAGACTCTGTAAGCCCCTTCTTCAGGTGATTCTTTCTAATTCTCCCCAAGTGTGAATAGAGGTGTTATACCAGTTCTACAAGCACAACCCATTTGAAGGGGAACTGACTTGTCATGTAGTTAAGTGGTAAACACATACTTTGAATTCTAATTTGAATTCAAAAGTGCTGTCTTTTCGTTTTATGGTAATCATTATCTGTGGCTTCCATTACACAATGTTACTCCCACATAGGGTTACCAGATAAAATATAGGATGACCAGCTATAAATTTCAGATAAACAATGAATAGCTTGTTAGTATTGTTTTGTAATGTTGAATGGGACATATTTATCTAAAAGAATTAGTTTTTTATCTGAAATTCAAATTTAACCAGTGATTTTATATTTTTATTTGCTAAATCTAGAAACCTTCCATGGGAAGATTTCAAGAAAAGTGACATTTTATCCAGACCAATAAATATAAGTAAGTAACAGATTTAAATAAAATATTTCAAGAGCAGAAAAAGGCAAGATTATCTGCGTTTCTGAAACCTTATTACAGATGTGAATTTGCATTTTGCTAAGTGTGAAGACAGAATTTAAAAAGTATTGAACTCTCTCCTTCTCAGGAGCCCATGTCCACCCAAGTGGGGACAATCTTCCTTTTTTATTGTTTAGTAGGATTGTCAAGCTCACTTGAAGATTTCTACAGACACAGAGCAGAGTGCCAATGTGTGAGGAAGCAGAATATTGGCTGGATATTCATAAAATAATAATCTAATCTGCTCCTTTGTGAGTGAGAAAACAATGCCACTATTTTGTTATCAGCTTTACTTGAAATTTCTCCTTATATCACCTTTTTAGAAAGGAATATTGATATTTCATTGTAGTTAAGAAAATGGTTTTTAGTCAAGCAGGACAGGAATTTAAATTCTTTCTTCAGTATTAATAAGCTATGTGAGGGGCGCCTGGGTGGCTCAGTCGTTAAGCGTCTGCCTTCGGCTCAGGTCATGATCCCAGGGTCCTGGGATCGAGCCCCACATCCGGCTCCCTGCTCAGTGGGAAGCCTGCTTCTCCCTCTCCCACTCCCCCTGCTTGTGTTCCCTCTCTCACTGTGTCTCTCTCTGTCAAATAAATAAAAAAATAATCTTAAAAAAAAAAATAAGCTATGTGAAACTGGGCAAATAATTTATACACAACTCACATTCTGGTTGGAAAATAGAGCAAATGATGCTTACTTCTTAAGGTAGTTGTGAAAATTATTTGGAACGTACTTAAAAGCACCTAGTATAGTTAAAACCTAAAATACAATAAATGGGTAAGTATCATGTCAGATCCTGCTTAATCAGATACCACATTTTCCAAGATTATTAAGGATTTGTTTATTTTTTATAACTACTCATTTTTGTCAGAAATGCACCAAAGTAGTATTTTACCCATTTTTAAAATACTTTATTTATTTATTTGAGAGAGAGAGACAGAGATAGCAAGAGAGAGCACCACGGAGGAGGAGAGGGAGAAGCAGGCTCCCCGCTGAGCAGGGAGCCCAATGCAGGGCTTGACCCCAGGACCCTGGCATCATGACCCGAGCCGAAGGCAGACGCTTAACCAACTGCGCCACCCAGGTGCCCCTATTTTACCCATTTCTGTTTTTAATCTTAATCAAGAATTCTGAAGTAATATTTCTGGATAAGAGTGAGAACTTTTTTAAAGATCATAATATTTCTGGATATTAACCAACCACTATCACAGGCATTAGCCAATCAGAATAGCTGCAGGGACAATTAGATCACATGGCCAGTGATAACCACATGGTACAGGCACACTCCCTGGCTAAATAAAAGCCACATCCCTATAACAGAGAAGGCAAAATATCAGAGGTTCTCAATTCCCATAAAAGATGATAAGGCCCTTACATTAAAAAAGGAATAAATGCATGTCTTAAGAGTAATTAGAGTTGAGGTGACATTTTCATCCTTAATCTAAGATGTCTGTATTAATAGGGGCAGAATGCTTAATGGCATATCAATTTAGACAAGTAGAAGTAATGGCAGCAATAGTGATAACGCTCTTTACTGAGTCTCCACTGGGTGACGTGCACTCTACTGCACACTTTATATTCACTTAATAATTTAATTCTATCAGAACCTTGACTTTGGCCTATCTCCACTTTATAGATAATACAGACAGAGATTCTTATGTAAATTTCCCAGGTCATACACAGCTGATAGTGGAAGATTCAGATTTTTTAAGCCACATCTCCTTATCTCCAAAACCCATGTTCTTACATACTATGTTGTGTTGCTTTCTGATACAATCTGATAAAATAACTATACAAGATCACATTTTGATCACAATTATGTAAACAGTAAAAAAAAATAGTCTTAGTCTATTTGAAAGCCACCACCCGAGTGATGGATAGGTAACAACTCAAAGGAACTTCATTTAATGGGTATTGCCAATCCAACAATTGAAACTTCAGAGAAAAGTTTGGGGGTGGAAGGAGCAGAAATATTGCAATGGTTTCAATCCTTTTCCCAAACATAGTAAAAATGAGCATGTTTCCACTTCACTAGATGTACCAAGCAAAGACAATACTGTAAACTAAGCAAACCTTATACAGGGATATTCCCTCTGCCAGTAGCCATCTTAACACTGGGATGTGTTTTCATTGACACCGAACCTTTCCAAGGACTGCATACTTTTTTTTGGTTACTATTTTGTCCCTACTCAAAAGTAGGTATGTTTTGTTTTGGATGCTATTTTTATCCATACTTAAAAGCATGTACACAGCCACGATTTCAGTTAGTTGAATCAGTGTATGGACTAGAATGTGTTCCTTTGTGGACTCCAAGGTGACTCAGATTTGGAAGAAATCCGAAGGTCATCTTAACTAAATCTCTATCTCCCTCCAGGACTGTATAGTGACCAAGTCGTCCCAGGCAGTTACGCATGAGAACTAGGTACACCCAAGAGGACATGGAGATCCCATGGGTGGTTTGCCCTGTGATCAGAGGGTCTGTAGAGGCACGAATACAATCATGCAGGTAGAACTGGAGGGACTTCCCACTTTTTACTTGGCTTCTACCAGAGAAGCTCCATCGTTGGCTTCGTGTGATGATACATGTTTTATGAAGAAAGTTTTATGGTTAAAATTATTTGAAAACTACAAAATACATAAAGCGATACAGAAAAGACATGGCAGAGACAGCTAGTTGCCTACTAGAAATCCACTTACCCTTAATTTTATTTAACATGATTTGATTATTGTTAGCCGCAGCCAAGGACTGAGCTGTAAGATGCCTCCCTTTCAGCCTCTCTTCCTCTTCCTTTCTGCCACCAGCGCAGATGTGATTGCTGGCTCTGCTGGATCTAGTTCATACCTCACAGGACAGTTTGAGAACAGAAGCGGAGTTCTATAGATGGTAAGGCAAAAAAATAGAGGGAGGCTGGGGCAATAATGACAGAACACACCAATTACACTTGCCCGGATTTTCTCTCCGGGTTGTTTCTCACATGAGAAAAAAGGAAAAACCTAATTTACATCAGCCACTGTTTTAAGCTCTTGCCTTTGTAGCCAGATATAATTCCTAAATAATACAAAAGGTCATACTTACTCTTTCACACTTACTTGTTTGTTTGCTTGTTTATTTATTTGTATCTTATTTTGGGTGTGTGTGTGTTTAAGTAAAACCAACCTTAAGGGGAAACAATAAATTACAATACTGTTAACGTGGCCTGAAAAGCAAAGAAACTAAACTGTAGGTGGTAGAATTTAGTAAACATTTGAAAAGCTAAATACATTCAAATTTGCAGGTTCTAAGATCCCAAAATTTTCAAAGAATTAGAAAAATATTTACATGGCCTTTAATAAGAATAGCATACTTCTAAATATGTAAATTTAGAGTGTTTTGTTTTAGCTTCTGCTTTTGCCAGATTTGACATCCTGTGAGATCTCTCTTATACCTCTCAATGTCTCCCTCCCACTCTCAAGAGCTATTACAGGTCCCTTTAGCAGAAAAGGAGTCAGTTAGGAAGAATTTGGGATGAGGAACAAATGTTTTCAAATTACTAACCACTTTCCATTTCAAATTCTCAAAATGTTTCATAAAAGTATTAGATAAAATTATCTACAAGATTCTAATAAAATGAGCAGATAATAGTACTTCATAGACATAAGTAATATCAGAAGAATTAGGCAAATGCAAAAAAATTAACAAAGCAGTAAGTGGAAATAAAAAGTAAGAGGTAAAAAAATGTAACAATGGTCATTATTTTATGAATATTGACCCTTCATGGTTTACTAGACACCATTTAGAAATTGACTTATAGGTCAAACCCTAAATGAGTATATATGCATATGAATATATCTACAATCAGATGGTATTTGATTCACTAAAATCAATGCATTTGTACTTTACAAACATGAACAACACAATAATTGAGGTGAGTTATAAGTGAGCAGGAAAAAATCGCTTTGAAAAGTAGCTGACACAAGTACATATACAAGGGAAATATTCTTCATAGATGATGAATCTTTAAATCATTATCTTTAAAAGATTTTCTTCAGTTCAAGAAAATTATTGTTTTTGTATAATATGTCACTAGTCAAATCAGCAGAATCGACAAGGGCAGTTCGTGGATGGAAGATATTGTAAATAGATTAACCTCAAATTCAACATATGTTAGGGATAATTTTCATATTTCATTGTGGAAAAAGGATTGGCCTAATGCACCTCTTTTTGTGATTATCTTGATATCAGTGATAAGAACAGCACTTTGAAGGCAAGGAGAGTATGATTAATCACTGATTCCAGACTAAATCTGCTTAAGTGTTGTTAACACTATATTTTCATGAAATGCTTTCCGTGATTTTCCTAAAAACAGTGGGTCTCAAAGCATAATCTGACAGAATCCAAAAGTCTGTGAGGGCAGACTAAATGTACTAAGAATAGGATTGCCAAATCATTCATATCCTTATGATCATTGGAAAAAAAAATCAATGGATAAAAGTTTGTTTCATTTTTTTATAAATGTGTCATAAATCTTTTCCTATTTCCACTTATCTGTTAGTAGGTGTTGTCACACTACAAATAAACTAAAACATGAGTCAATGATTATTACTTAATAAGTTGGAAGTGTTATTAAATATTTATAGAATATTATTTTCAAGATGTGAAAGACTGCATATTTTAAAATATAGTCAATTTTTCATTAATTTGCATAATAGAATTTAACACAGTGATGTTTCATGGTATGATATTTCTTTTTAAATTTTATTATGTTGTGTTAATCACCATACATTACATCATTAGTTTCTGATGTAGTGTTCCATGATTCATTGTTTGCATATAACACCCAGTGCTCCATTCAGTACATGCCCTCTTTAATACCCATCACCAGGCTTACCCATCCCCCACTCCCCTCCCTTTTAGAACCCTCAGTTTGTTTCTCAGAGTCCACAGTCTCTCATGGTTCGTCTCCCCCACCGATTCACCCCCCCCCATTTTTCCCTTCCTACTATCTTCTCTTTTTTAACATATAATGTATTATTTGTTTCAGAGGTACAGGTCTGTGATTCAACAGTCTTACACAATTCACAGCACTCACCATAGCACATACCCTCCCCAATGTCTATCACCCAGCCACCCCATCCCTCCCACCCCCCACCACTCCAGCAACCCTCAGTTTCTCTCCTGAGATTAAGAATGCCTCATATCAGTGAGATCATATGATACATGTCTTTCTCTGATTGATTGATTTCGCTCAGCATAATACCTTCCAGTTCCACCCACGTCGTTGCAAATGGCAAGATTTCATTCCTTTTGATGGCTGCATAATATTCCATTGTATATATATACCATTCTTCTTTATCCATTCATCTGTCAATGGACCTCTTGGCTCTTTCCATAGTTTGGCTATTGTGGACATTGCTGCTAGAAACATCAGGGTGCACGTACCCCTTCAGATCACTACATTTGTATCTTTGGGGTAAATACCCAGTAGTGCAATTGCTGGGTCATATGGTAGCTCTATTTTCAGCTTTTTGAGGAAACTCCATACGGTTTTCCAGAGTGGCTGCACCAGCTTGCATTCCCACCAACAGTGTAGGAGGGTTCCCCTTTCTCCACATCCCTGCCAACATCTGTCATTTCCTGACTTGTTAATTTTAGCCATTCTGACTGGTGTGAGGTGGTATCTCATTGAGGTTTTGATTTGGATTTCCCTGATGCCGAGCGATGTTGAGCACTTTTTCATGTGTCTGTTGGCCATTTGGGTGTCTTCTTTGGAAAAGTGTCTGTTCATGTCTTCTGCCCATTTCTTGATTGGATCATTTGTTCTTTGGGTGTTGAGTTTGATGAGTTCTTTATAGATTTTGGATACTAGCCCTTTATCTGATATGTCATTTGCAAAAATCTTTTCCCATTCTGTAGGCTGTATTTTGGTTTTGTTGACTTTTTCTTTTGCTGTGCAAAAGCTTTTTATCCTGATGAAGTCCCAATAGTTCATTTTTGCCCTTGCTTCCCTTGCCTTTGGCGATGTTTCTAGGAAGAAGTTGCTGCAGTTGAGGTCAAAGAGGTTGCTGCCTGTGTTCTCCTTTAGGATTTTGATGGACTCCTGTCTCACATTGAGGTCTTTCAACCATTTGGAGTCTATTTTTGTGTGTGGTGTAAGGAAATGGTCCAGTTTCATTCTTCTGCATGTGGCTATCCAATTTTCCCAACACCATTTGTTGAAGAGACATGGTATGATTTAAAGAACAGCATGACTCCTATGTAGTCTACTGCCAGGCTTCTTTCAGAAGTTTGTCCTAAAACAATATTATTAAAAGGTATCTCTGAACATGGTCACTTATAAGTCAAATTTGGCCACTCTTGTAGATTTTCTCTTTTTAACTTGTTTTTATCATTAATTGCTTAGAGTCATTAATTCCTAATTTTTTTCTGGAGAATCATGAATAAACAGGTCCAGATGAGATTAGAATATTGGTTAGACCATGTTGATAGACACATCTCAAAGTCTGCCACCAGAACTCCATTTATATCATCATTACCTGCCACCCAGGATACTTACAATAGCTTCCTATTGGTCTCCCTAGTTCCATGTTTGCTTCCCAACAATCTCTATCAATCTTTATTCATCCACTCTAGCCAGAATATTTTCAAAGCACAAATGTGATTAAATCACCCACGAGTGAGTGTGCATGCACACACATTTTGCGTATAATACCTCAATGAATACCTCTTCTATAAAAATCTAAATTCCTAGCAGAGCCTTCATGGTCTCTCCTCTATCACTACGCAGGAGCTCCTCTGACTGCCTCACTGGACACTAACCATACTTACCATTTTTCTAGTTCTTGAAGAATCCAGTCCCTCCTTGCTACAGTGCCTATGAATATGCTAATCATTCTGCCTGGAATACTCTCAACCTAATTTAATTAACTCAATATCACTAGTTCTGAAATCTTTGGTAAATGGTTGCTTGCTTAGGAAAAACTTCCCTGATTTACTTGCCTATGTCAAATCTCCTTATATGATCTTATGTCTTCAAATAGTGCTCATTCAAGTAATATTTTATCTTTATTTATATAATATTTGATTAATATCATGTTTATATCCTCTAGGCTGTTAAGTTCCATGAGATGAGGAACTGCATCAGCTTTTGTTCATCCTTGCCTCCCTAGTACTTTGCACATAGTAGCTCCTCAGTAAGTGGTTACAGAGTGAATCATAATTACAAACACTAAAAATTAGACTCATTTTACATAGATAATAAAGCCTTTTCCATATTCTTTTAACAACACAAATAATAAAAAGAAACACAATCACTGTTTTCTTAATTATTTCCTGATGATCTTACTTTGACTTTAAATGAAATATTACTTATCCCCACGCTCAACCCAGCATGGATTCTAAACATCTATTAAACACTGAAGCATTACTATTTCTCATTGGTCCAGATCATCTTAATAATGCATTATAAGAATAAAAGCACTTTTTCTTTATGTTAATTTACATTTTGGAATACACACACATACACGTGCACATACACACTGGCAGAATATCAATTCATCTTAATCATGAAGACATTTTACTAATAGAATGATCAAGTATTCTCAATGTTTTAATATTTGGTTTTGTTTGTTAGAACATAATAATAAGAAAAAGAAAAAGAAGAATAAGAAAAAGACTCACCATCCTCCCCTAAAGACGCACTGCATAACATCCCCAGGGTCTCTATCCTTTCTTATCTTTATTTCCATTATACTCTTCTTCCTGTAGTCCCTACATTTGTCTTCCGCTTTTCCCTGATTTGGGGAGTTGAATTATAACTGCATTTATTTCAGTTATTTCTTGAACTAAAATGTAAATGCTTAAGACTGATCATTTTTTTCTGTTCACTCCCCCACCCCCACCCTGTT